TAAAAAGCCGAGCCAATGTAGAATTCAAAGCATCGATTTTTGTTTTTAGTAGCCACGTATCCTCAATTGAAAGAAGAATGAATTCAACCTCCTTCAATTGCAAACTTAGAACTTCTTTCTTTAGCTTAAGTTTGGATTGATTTAAGTCTTTGTGCTTATCTTTACTCCAATAATATAAAGCCTTAAGAGATCTATTCATCTTTTGATTCAGAATTTGAGGGAGTTCTCCAACATATTTTCTCCTCCATGCATCTCTAAACACTGCCGTTGAAGCTGTAATTGAGGCCCATATATCTTCAAATTTAATATTCTTCTTATACGGAACGTTGAACTCCAATAAGTTCAACAAAATTGGACTGTGGTCCGATGCAACTCTAGCCAAATTCCTAACCACCAAATGGTGAGATAAGTTCAAATCTACTGAATTTAGAAGACATCTATCCAATTTCTCAAGGATCCTTTCAGCCCCATTCTTATTGTTGAACCAAATGAACTTGGGTTCAATGCACCAACCCCATGTAAATCATTACATGTTATAAACGACTACATCTCCTTAGGTCCAAGGGAATAAACAAGTCTATTCCCTCCCTTTTTTTCCTCTCTAGATATTAAGCAATTAATGTCTCCATCCACTACCATAGGAATATCTTTAGACAAATGATATTCCAATCTTTCCCAAAGAGACCTCTTCTTATAAACATCCCTGCTCCCATATACAACCGCAACTTTCCACTTTCCTTTGTTAACAACATCTAACTCCCCTACTACATGCTGGGAAGAAGATTCCAATACATTGAACGAAGCCATATTGTGATTCCATAACACCATAATGCCACCTAATAAACCTTCAGATAAAACATAAAAAAAGTCCTAATAACTCCCTACAAACAAATTAACATCTCTCCTATCAATTGAAGACAACTTGGTTTCAAGCAACGCAAGCAAGAACCCTCATGGTCCTTTATAAATTATTTTAGGTAAAGAGAAGCTTTACTTTTCCTAGCTCCTCTACAATTCCAAAATCCTATGGAAGACATCATTGAATGATAGGGGAAGAGCTCCCCAACTTCTCCTTCGATTCTCCTTCCAATCTTCTATTCCTTGGAACCAATTTAATAGGTCCCAATCCTTTGAGCTGCTTTGTACCTTTTTTCTTCACATTAGATGAACCATCACCTGAGATGCCCACTTGAATTTCCTTTCTTTCATTTTCAGCCTCCAGTGTCTTGTCTACATTTACAGCTTTATGTACCAATGCATTAGGAGACTCCAGAATCTCAAAGTTCAGGCATTTCCCTTCCTCTACAAGTTGACTCAAGACATCAAATTGATTATTATTACTAGGAATGCAAGTAGAAACAACATTCCTTTTTTACCAGATGAATCATTTCCTATATCTTGAATATCATTACAAGGAGGGCAAGGAGGGCCAGATTTTACCTCAAGATGCAGTTCTTCAACCCGAAAGACTGTTACCACATTAACATCTTCATTTTATACTCTTGAAGCATTCCCATCTACCTTCATTCCTTCAAACTTCCAAGCAACTCTATCTTCCTTCACGGTTAAAGACTTGTTAGCTTCCTTATATTCGGGTCTAGTCCAAGTATTTTTGAATTTCTAGTTACTGAATCTTCTCTTCCCATAATCCACATGAATCTAAGGTCCATAGCCTTCTTTATCAACCTCATTGACATCTTCTTCACGTGATCCTACATTTGAGTTTGGCTTGTTTAAAACAGCAACACCTTCATTGTCACTTTTAATTTGATTATAAACCTGTCAATTTTCTCCACCAGCATTCGTACAGCTACTCTTCAAATACCTAATCTTCCCGCAGTTGAAACAAAAATAAAAAACTCTCTCATATTCAATCTTCTGATAGAATTTACCAAAAATTCCCTCCACCCAAACACCCAAAGGCAATTTGTCCTCGATCTTGATTCTAACACAAATTCTGGCAAACTCCCTTCTCCCCCATTAAAACATATTTTCTTCAATTAAATACGGAGTTCCAACATTTGAAGCAATAATTTCATCCCAACACTATAAAGGGAGATTAGGCATCTTGATCTAGGCAGATGTCATTAAACCTTTTAAAGAAGTAGGCTGGAAATTAGGAGCCCATTTGTCCAAACCAATGATATGCCAATTCTCATATCAAGTTCTGCTAGAAAGAACATATTCAAGAACCTTTGGGTCTTTAAATGCACATAATACCCATCCCCTTCTAAGTAAAGTCATATGGAATTTTCCAAATTGAGTCCATTGCCTCCTTAACTCCACCCCAATAGCATGGTATGTCACAAATTCTCCAAACACTTTCACCACCAAAGATTTGAGCAATTTGTTTGTGTTTTCTACCTCATTTTGCATATGTAGATTCACTACACCTTCAGATAAACAATATCCAAAATAAAAATCAATTGTTTTAAAGTTATTTTTTTTATTCCAAACACTGGCTAACACCTTACTCGATTCGGGGGGAATATCAAAAATCAAATTTTCAACATCTTTGTGATTACCCAGATCAGCTAAAATGCAATCGCGAAACTTATCCAAATTAACATCAGAATGATGCACATCATTAGGACGCCCCATTATAGATTAATCCTCTATAGCCACAACTTCTGACTGAACCTGCACAAATAGAATCTTTATTTCCCATTCTAGCCGAGACATCTGAAGGGATGATATCCTTTGATGCCACCTTATTAATTTTAACTACAGAAAACATAGAATCTCCATCAAAGAAATGGATATCAATTTTTACTTCTCTTTGAAACCAGACGGAATTCGGACTTTATCGGAGACATCCAACATCACCTTCTTAACCTTCCCAATGCAATCCATATGTTTTTTGGCTGAAGTAATCCTCCCTCATTAATCACCAGAGGTAAAGTAAATTTAAACCTTGACTTGGCATCGTGATCAAACACCAAGTTTGTATCACCGAAAGAAGGAGGAGATGAACCATGATTGGAAAGTGGAAGAATATGAATCACATTTGATGATGAATGATGAGCATCACTGGTGTTAGAGGACGGAGGCCGACGATCATCCACCGTCATCGGTGGTGAGTGAATTTTGTGAGAAATTAGAAATTCAAAATGAAGATTTTTTCTGTCTCTAGAAAATCCCAATAACTTTCACTTTACCAAGTTGTTATTTAACTTTACTTTGATTTAGTAAATATTGTTAGTTCATATTTAACAAATTTTAGAGGATATTAAATTTTTGAAATTATTTGGTATGATGTATACTAAATTTTGATAAATCTTTAAAAAATTATTTGGCAACATAATGATGTGGATTCAAGGAGATAAAAGTCTAAAGTTAGGGGAGACGGGTTGTCGGCTATTTTAACGCATTAGAGAAAAAATAATTTGGGGTACTGTATCTCACTAGAAGCTGCTCCACCTCATCAGGAGGGTAAAAGTGGTTCAGGCTGCTCCAGCTAACTAGGAGGGTGAAAGTAATTAGGGCTACTCGGCCTTACTAGGAGGGTGAAAGTGATTTGGTCTACTCCACCTCACAAGGAGAGTAAAAGTGATTATAGTTATTAGCCGCACTGAGGAGGTGGAAGTGATTTTGTAAGATCTTCTCTCCCTAGTCATGGGTTCAGATGGAGAGTCACTAAAAATTTAGTGTAATATCTAAAGAGGAGGATTTCAGAGAGTGGGTGTAGGTCAAATTGATTGAACTATTATAAAAATCTAAGTTGTTTGTTCTTTTATTCAATTTTTAATTTTTGCACTTTACGTTCTTGCACGTTTACTTTTTAAAATTTGGTTTGCCTTTGGTTGTTTTTGTGACACAAAAATCAGCTTGGTTGGTTTGAATTAAAAAATTTAGAAAAGTGAAAAAAGGGTTATTTATTTTTCTACAAAATAAAAAATTTAGTATTTATTTATTTTTATTTGTTTTCATATTTAAGATTGTGAATTTGGTTTGTTTAATTAAATAATCAATAAAATTTTGAAAGAAGTTTTGAAACACCAATTCACACCTCTTTTGGTGTGTAATTCCATAGTTTAATTTATTTCTCAATCATCCTTTAAACTTTCATACCCCACCTCTGGCCTTGAGATTGAATCCATAAAGGGCTCACTTGCCTAATTTGGATAAAAATGAGCGTGCTATAAATTTTTAGAGTTCTATTTAAATTCAATAAATTTAATTCACTTAATCAAACCTTGTTTACATAATTATCAACAAATGATATCATCTGATTGTTTATTTAAATAATAGGTCCCTCGGTCTGCATAGCTTCTCCCTCACCTTTTTTGAGCCCTATAATTCAAAATTTGGGGCACCTAACAATCTCAAAATTCTGAAACTATCAAATTCTGGACGTTAGAGAGAGAAACTCCAGCTTTTTCGGTTAGAGAGAATCCACAGAGAAATTCAAATTTCTATTCCTGGTTTTTGTTCCTGCTTCTCAGGAAGGGCGGGAGAAGATGGCGGCGGAGAGTTGCCGTCCTTCTCAGGCTCCGGCGACCAAACCTCCGTCCTTTATTGGCAATTCTAAGATCAATTTGAAGATGAACGAGAAGTTATCATCTCCTCAAAAATTGGATGATCGTATGAAAAAACTGAATGGTCCGTTGGTGATCAGAGATGTATCTGAAGCAGAGCCTAGAAAAATCTGTTATGTCGAAGGAAAAGGTAAAGGAGTTGTTGATTCTGAATCTAAAAGTACTCCAGGCACTAAAAAAATGTATTCTGGTATGAATTTGTTGGATCCCGAAGCTTCTTCCTCTGGGATGAAATTATTTGTAAACAGATTTGTTAATTTGAATATTAACTCGGATAAAGAGTTAAAGAAGAATCCTGTGAAGATGAGTATCAGCAATACTCAAGAGGTACTGAATTTAGAGAACAATTTGGCTGTTGATAAGGTTATTGATAAAATGCTGACTTATTCTGGTAAAGTTGGTATCAATAATACCTGAAGTAATAAGCCTTACATCAAAATTGATTTTAAAGAAGATGAAAGCATGATTTCTGAAGATGGAAAAGGTGTTAGAATGAATGAAGTTCTGGAAGTTAAGAATTCTGAAAAACTTTCAAATTCTATTGTGATAAAGGTGTTTGGCAGAGAATTGGCGTCTCATATTGTTGCTTGGGAGATAAGAAGACAATGGATACAATATGGTCAATTTCATTTTACCACTCTAGGAAGAGGGTGGTTCTTATGTTCTTTTCAATCGGAGGAGACGATGGAAGCAGTACTGTCAGGGGGGCCATGGTTTATCAATGGGCACATTGTGGGAATGGAGAGATGGTCCACTGAATTTTCAGCTAACTCCATGAAGGGGCTGACATCTCCTATATGGGTTAGGATGCCTAACCTTCCCTTGCAATGTTGGGATGAAGATAATATAGCTAGAATAGCTTCTAGAATTGGAATCCCTTTGATGATGGATGGGAATCTCTTCCAATGGGGAAGAAGAGAGTTTGCAAGAGTTTGTGTGAGGTTGAAACTTGATCAACCTCTTCCCTTAAGAATTTGGGTGGATAGTATCTCAGGGAGGTTTTTCAAAAAGTTGAATATGAAAAGGTAGCCAACCTTTGCTTTGAATGTGGATTTATTGGGCACTTGAAGAATGATTGTGGTAATATCAGTAATAAAGCCTGCAATGATAAATTGGGAGTTAGCTTCACTTCAGATGTTAATAGCATAAGTAAAGAGCAAATTGCTGTTGATAAACCAATGTATGGACCGTAGAGTCTTGTCAATAATAAGGAAGGAAGAAAGCCAATCCAAAAGAGCATTGCAGTCAAATCCAGCAAAATAATATTTGTTAAGAAGATGGGAAATGAAAAAGTCACTATGGAAGAAGGAAATGATGGAGCTGATGACAGATTTATCACCCCAACAAAAGATCCGGTTCTGAGTAATGAAGACCATTTAGAAGAAGGAGAACTTATTCCAGACAAGGATCAGCCTATTATAGAGAAGAGCAATCAAGTTGAAGAGGACAGAGATAGTTTCTCAAAGGATAACAAGGAGGGACCTACGAGTAAGTCCCCTGTTTCTTCCTATTCTAAATTATCAAATTCTGGAAACAAATTTGATATCCTAAGTTCAGTACCTGAAAATCTGGTTAATGAAGATTTGTTAGTTTCGGTTAAAGAAAAGAAATATGCTGAAAAATTCAGTGATGGTTCGAATAAAAGGCTGACCAAAGTTGAAAATTGAGAAAAAATTTTTTCAGACAATAAGATGGGAGGAGATAAAATTTCTATTGGTGATTCTAGCAAAATAAAATTTGCTAAGGAGTTGAAATCTCTGGGCCCTATAAAGAACATTCCTAAAGGAAGGAATTTTGATGGTGGAGGTATTCGATAAGGGGGAGTGGATGATTTCTACCGTATATGGAAATAAGGATGTTATGAAGAGGAGAGAATTATGGAGTAATCTGGATGAGGTGTCCAATAGAAAGGCTCCTTTCATTGTTGGGGGAGAATTTAATTGCATCTTGTCACAAGATGATAAGAGGGGTGGTAGAAAATTTGCTTTTTCTCAAGGCCCCAAAGAAATGGCTGATTTCTTAAATGTGAATGACCTTCATGATGTGGGATTTGTTTGTCAAAAATACACTTGGTGTAATAACAAATCTGGAGGGGACCGCATTCTCGAGAGGTTGGATAGATGTTTTCTAAACTCTATAGCCATCAACAAGATAAATAATGCAGTGGTGAGACATCTTGCAAGGGTAGCGTCCGACCATTGACCTATTGTATTGAAGATCCTTGATAATCCATTTCAAAAGTTTGGGACATTCAAATTCAAAGATGTGTGGATTTCATTCAAAGCATCGTCTCTCATAATTGAAAGAGTTTGGAGAAAGGCTTTCCAAGGCAATGATATGGAGGTTCTCAATAAGAAATGTAGAAGAGCTTTGAAGGATTTGTTTTATTGGAGCAAGGCAAGGATTAAGGATTTCTCTTTAAAAAAGGAGAAGTTAAAAGAAGAAATTTCTCTTATTCAAGAAGAAGAAGCATCGGTTGGGTGGTTATCTAATGAAAAACTTTGGGAGCTCAGATCTAAAGTTTTTAAACTTAATTCTGTGCTTTCTAGACTCAACACTTATTGGAGACAAAGAGCTAAAGCTAAATGGATTGAGGAAGGCGATTCTAACTCTAAATTTTTCCATTCTTTTGCTAACTCAAGAAGGATTGGAAAAAAGATTTTTCAAATTAAAGATAAAGATGGTGGCATTACTGAAGATCCCTTGGTTATGCAACAAATTCTTTTTCAGTTTTTTCAAAAGAAGTGGAAGCAGAGGGACTGTTGTATGGACAAATGGCCGAATCCTGTTAATATTCTGGATGAGACGGACAGAATTAGCCTGGAGAAATAGATTTTATATGAGGAGATCCTGGAGGTTATCAAAGGGCTTGGCAACAAAAAATCACCGGGACATGATGGTATCACTTACTCTTTTCTCAAACACTATTGGAACATTATTGGTATTGATGTTTTCAAGGCAATTAAAGAATTTTTTACATCAGGTATCATGAGTAATAGTTGGAAAGAAACTCTTATTGTTTTGATACCTAAAATTTCTAATCCTTTATCTCCTGAAGCTTTTCGTCCCATTTGCTTGTGTAACTCCATCTACAAAGTTGTTGCTAAGGTGTTACTCAATAGGCTTTTGGTGGTTATTCCAAAACTTATCTCTGAAGAACAAGTTGCTTTCATGAAAGGGAGGAGCATCTCTGAACATATTCTTTTGGCTCGGGAGGTTATTAACAAAATGAGGATTTCTAAATCTAAAGAAGGTATGGTGGCCATCAAAATAGACATGAAGCAAGCCTATGATAGCATGTGTTGGAGTACTCTTGAAGGGGTTTTGAGAAGCTCGGGTTTTCCTGAAAAATTCATTAGGCTTATCTTGGAATGTATTGTTGAGCCCAGATTTTCTATTATTATCAATGGGAACTTGTCAAATTGGATTGAAGGGAAGAGTGGTTTTCGTCAGGGATGTCCATTATCCCCTTTTCTTTTTATCCTTTGTTCCCAATTGATTACAAATGCTTTTAATCAGGAAGGGAAGGATTTAGGCATTAAAGTGGCTTCTTCTGGAAATGTTATTTCTCATTTGCTTTATGCAGATGATATCCTTCTATTCTCTAAAGCAAAGATTAGAAGTATCAAGGAGATGAAGATCATTTTGAGCAACTACTGTGGATGGACAGGGCAAAAGATTAATCTTAAAAAATCTTCCATGATTGTTAGCAAGAATGTTGATAGAAGAATGAAAAATAAGATCAAAAAAATTATGGAGATCAAGATGGTTGAGGAGATGGATTATCTGGGAACAAAATTAGCTTTGAGAAGACTAAAGAAGGCTGATTTTCAATTTCTATTGGATAAAGCATTGAAGACTTTAAATGCTTGGGGCAATAGTTATATTTCTCTTGTTGGAAAGCTTGTGCTTGTCAATTCGGTATTCTGCAATTTGCCACTATATTTAATATCTCATTCCTTAATTCCTCTTAGTGTGTTGAGGGAATTCGAAAAATTCTACATAAATTACATATGGAAGAATCGAGACGGTAAACAGGGGATGCATTATATAGCTTGGGATGAGCTTTGCAAGCCAAGAGCTAACGGTGGCTGGGGAATTCACTCTGCTGCCAGCAGTATTCAAAATCTGAGAGCGAAATTCTCTTGGAATCTGGTAACTAATCCTAACTCCTTCCTAAATAGAAATTTGTTAATCAAGTATAGTGAAGACTGGTGGAAGAAAGATGAGATTAAAGAGGGTTCTATGGCTTGGAAAATCATTGCTAGTGGTTGGAAATCTATGAGGAAAGTTATAAGATGGAATGTGTTGAATGGGATGCGTATTAATGTCTTGAAGGACATATGTATTTTTGACAAAATCCTTTTCAAATGGCCTACTTTTATCGCTCCTTTTGATGAAGATGATTTAACTATGGATTTTTTTATCCTGGATGGCCAATGGGACATTGCAAAATTACTTCTTTTTTTTTGGAAAAGAACTGGTTGTTGTTATTTCTAGCATTCCTATTGTTAAGGAATGAGATGAGGATTATATGGATCTAAAATACAAATTGACTGGAAAATCTATTGCTGCTATGATCAAGGAAGACTCAGTTAAGGTTCATGAGGGGAGCTCTTACTTATGGATTCATAAATTTAATCTGTACTCAAAGGTGGAATTTTTCATTTGGAGGCTTTGTAAGAATGCTATTCCAACTTTTGATTTTCTGTTCAAAAGAAAATTATCTTTTGATAATAAATGTCCAAGAGGATGTGGAGGAATTAAGGAGTTAGATCATATCTCTACAAGATGTCCCAAGCTTCTTAAAATTATTGGCATTCTATGGGAATGGGGTTTTCTAGTCCCATTCTTCGATTCATTTCAACATTTCTTGGATGAAGCAAAAATCAGTCTTAAGAAGAATCCTGTGATGATAAAGCTTTACTTTAATCTGTTATGGTTTTCATGGAATGAAAGAAATAAGATTAAGCACGGTTAGAAGGAAGATAGTGTTTTAACATTGGCTTCCAATGTTATTAGCTTGATTGCTTTTGATAGAAGAAATAAAATACTCTCGGAAAACTGGGATGCTATTCAATCCTTAGGATTGTCTTTTGATTCAAGGCATCCTCCTCCACCCTAGTGGTACAAGATTAATATTGATGCTGCATTGAAAAGCAACTATGGAGCTGGAATTGGAGGAGTTGAAAGAGACTATAGAGGAAGAATGATTTGTGCATTTGGGTTCTATGGAATGCATTGGGATATATCACAATTGGAGCTTTATTCATTCTATTCTTTGAAGTATTTGTTACACAATTGTTTGGATGAGGCCAAAGGTGTCATCATCGAGGGAGACAATAAAAATGTTATTCAATTACTTCATGAATTGTATAGCAAAGGCAATAAAAAGGTTGGAATCATGGAAGATGAAGACTTCTTTGGGTTAAGGTATGGGAGTAATGTCATTTTTAAATGTATTAGCAGAAGAGGTAATAGGGTAGCTGATTTTTGTGCTAACCTTTCCTTTTCGTATGAATTCATTTGGAATGATTTTAGTGAGAGCTCTCTTCCTCCTTCCTTTGTTAAACTTATAAAGGAAGAATGTAGTTTGAAGGAAGATCTCTATTAGTTTGTTGCTTGTTCTTGGTTTTTATATTTTAATGCTATTGCATTTCCTTCACTATAATTCAAAATTTTGAATTCAAAATTTTGAATTATTTATAAGATTTCAAAATCTATATTTAGCTTAGATTCAAGCCATTGGAGGGCTGACTAGTGAGTTGGGTCAGTTGGGGATGGCCTAATAGGTTCTAAGTATCTCACAAGAGGAGGCACCCCACATGGGGTAAACTGGCTAGTAAATTATTATTTAAACAAGATGAATTAAATGATTTTTGTAATATTTGAGCAAGTAAAGGCATGTTCATGAGCGGGGATTTTCTGGGCCTGATACTTCAATCTAGGAGAAGTGTATTCAAGTATTGGCTTAGGTTAATTTGGCCTAGGTAGGGAGATGGTTTTTTATACACCTGGGTTTTCCAATTTGGCTAACTAAGCAATCTTATAGGTTGGGATTACTAGGGAAGATGCATGGAATATGTAGGCTTATAGTATATGAATTATCTTGGTTTAATTTAATTGGAGGGTGAAAAGGTTCAAGATTACCCCTTTAGGTTCACTTGGGCTAGCCCAATTTACTAAACCAAGTGACCGCAGGGTTTGTCAAGCTAAGGCAAGCTTAGGGACTTAATAGACCTATTTGTATGGTTTAGCAGTAATAAGTTCATAAGGGTTTGTTGAGTTCAAGTAGGAGACCTATATAGGTCATTTGGTCAACCTAGGTTAACTTATTTAACTAGGGTTGACCAAGCCCAAGAAATTATTCCATTTCATTTTATTAAGTGTAAATTTTGTATCATTTATTATGTTTAAATTCAATGATAAAACATGTTATTTAATGTGTTTGTGTAAAAAATATATAAGAAAAGATAATAACTACATGTGTTAAATAGTGTTGAAGCACCATCATTTGAAGCGTATGCTATAACAACACCCCAATGCCAGATTCACACATTGCAGTGTCATGTTCTCTATTTCCAGTGCCACAATAGCACTAAGGTCAGCATTACAACATAACATAATGTTGTTGTACCCAAATTTAGCACCGCAGTATTAGAGCCTT